TTTAGTGTTTCTCTTTATTAAGTGGAAAGTTAGGAGTTCACTGGTGTCTTGTTTAATTTCAAAAGTTAATGTGTAGCTAAGAGAAAATAGTTGTGATAATTGCATGTAATTACCCATATATTTAAATGTACAAAATGACAAATTGGTAATTGATAATGCAAAAAGACTGATCTGTTAATAGTGATTAATCTAAACCTCATATTTGGATTTTTTTTGGCTAAATAAATTAGATCCCCCCCTTTTAATTACATATACAGATTGCTTAATTTCCAGGATTTTCCTGCAAACCTTCTAGTACCTTTTCTATCCTTCCTCCAACCCCAACTTAGATCTGTTTATTTTTATAAGTGTAATTTGAATAGTGATTTTACTTTATATATTAATGAGTAGGTGATTTAAAGACTCAATGTGAGCAGAAATTTAAGAACTGTAATTTTACAAATCCATAAATTTATATAAAATAAAATAACACCTCTTATTTTTTTTCAGGCTGATCAGCTAATGTTCGCGTTGCATTTTGTTCGAGGAATGCACCCTGAACTTTTTCAAGAAAACGTAAGTGAAATTAAAGAAGGGATTTTCATGGAAATTTCATAGAAAGGTAGTCATAGGTGGATTTATAGTTACATTAGAAATTGTATTCAGTTAAAGGGTAAGCTCAATTTTCTGAAATGAGGGTAAAACAAGGAAAGCAATATATATAACTCGCCAAATTGTTAGATTTTTCTGAACAGTGTACAGGATCCACAAAAGTCAGCCTTATTTTCCTGTTCTGAACAGTGGCACTCACAAGTAGGAAACAGTTAAACAAAATAGAGATACAGTATTTGTTAACGTCACGGATTTTTTCAGAGTTAGCACATGAAACAGGTATGGAGAGTTTCAAATGCTTTGACCTTTGTGTTTATATCAGTCTTTGCATGTAGCTTAAAAAATTTTCCTATGACCTCATTTTTGGTTTGCCATATAAGCCCCCTATCAAACTTCAAAAGAATAACCCTGAAGCTAGAGCTAACTAATGCATTTCTGATCTGTCCTGGTTTTCTTTTTTTCAAAAGCAATTTGCAAGTGACTTTTGCCATTTTCATGCCATTGTCATAAAGTGAGCCCCTAATGATGACAGTGCAAGGCCGGGGCTTATGGACAGCTCAGCTTTGATCTAGTAACCCTGGGTAGCTGTGTGAGATTTAACTATGTTCTGGGGTCACCTCCTTCTTTTGTTAAAAGTGTGAGCCGTTCTAAAGGGAAGCCTTAGGTTCTCCCCATTTCTATCTACCTCCTAGCCTGTATGCTCTGGCTGACGTTTGTCGTTTATCCCAAACTTATGTAATTGCTTCCTTTTATTTCTACTGATAACTGTGATACATTTTCCTCTTCTTTTATAGTCAGCATGTTCCATATAGTATCAGGCTTGATAGTCTCTACTTTTTAATCCTGAAAATGAATTCCACTAGGAAAATTTTTTTTCTTTCTTTGATTCACATAGCAGTCATTCTTATTTTACTTAGCGGTATATATAGCTTCCTAACTGTAATCGGAAGAGTGATTCACAAGTACTTGGTGGAAGCAGGAAGTATGTTTCTTTAGTAATTTATATATATCACTCTCAAATTTTAATAATGAAATAACAATTTATTCATACTCTCAAATTGACAATATCAAGGCTTTCTCTGATGAGGGAAAGCCAGGTTAAAGATGTAAATTTTCATAGAGTACCCAGACTTGATCAATCTTGATTTTTGATAGGAAAATTATTGGCAATTTCCTAATCTGTACATAAAAACTAAGTTAATGGATATGTTTTCTCACTGCTCCCCTAACTGTAGTGCTCATTGCTGCTTATAAGGGGTCCTGGTGGCACAGTGGTTGCATCCTCAGCCATTATCCGAAAGGATGATGATTATAACCCACTGGTTGCTTTGTTGGAAACAGTCTGCTTCCATGCAGACATACAACCTTGGAAACCTACACAGTAGCTCTACTTGTTTTGTAGGGTCTCTGCGAATGCACGGTGGCAGGTTTTTAGTGTTTGTATCTATTGGTGGAGATTAGTATGTTCTAGAACAGATAAATTGTGAACAAGTGTATCTGGATATGACAGTAGAATTATTGGATATTGAGATTTATTTATATATGTGCATGTTATTTATGTAAAAACAGGCATACATACATATGTACACATATAATGTATATATGCGTTTTTGTTTTCATACAATAATTTCTATTATATTCAAGTTAATACTTTGTTTTGGTACATGTACTGGTTTTTATGATCTTAGTGTTATAGTGGAAAGATATGAAAGATATATTTTTTCTGAGTCCTCAGAAGGCTTCATTGTAAGCCATCTTGGGGTATTAAGAATATTTTGTTAACTATTTTCATTGTTTTTGTTTCCTTGTTTTTATTTAATAGGAATGGGATACCTTTACAGGTGTGGTTGTTGGAGATATGTTACGGAAAGCTGTAAGTTAAAATAATCTTACTCTCAGGAAGCAGTTGTGCCTACAGAGGTCATAAAACATAATTTTCTTCATAAGAATTTTATTATTGATATTATACTTCGATTATCGCATTGGAATATTGCATTGTCTATATTGCCCTCATTTGAAAATAGACCTAATTTATATTTTGGCCTATTTGGTAAATACAGTTTTACCTCCTCCCCAGCTTATGTTTTTCATTTTAAGAATACTTTTATAATCTATAACGAAGTAAAATCTTATATTTAGGAACTTTAATTAATATAATTTAAGTAATTTAAAAAATTTTATCTTTTAATAGCATATTTCAATTTTTGTTTTTTTTTTTAGTGAATTTGTCATGTATAATTCATTATCCAGTAATCCCAAACTGTAATGTACAACCTACATCCATTCTGAAATATAGTATGGCCTACCATAATTCCATAGATGGCTCTGATATTTAGCTTTTTCTGAAATTCATGAAAGACTAAACACAATGAAAATGAATGTAGTACTTGTCTAAATGATTATATACACCATAATTAGAAATATTTCATGTTAATGTGTAAAATAAACAAGGAATAAAGAAGTAATGCTTAGAACGAACATTTTAAGTGTTTATAAAAATAGCTAGTTAATTAATTTTTCAAAGTCTAAATTTAATCAAATATACCAAAGAAAATAACTGATTTTATTAAAGGACTCTCAACAAAGAATACGTGATCAGCTTCCATCTTGGATAGATCAGGAAAGAAGCTGGGCGGTGGCAACATTGAAGGTATTCCTTTATTGGTACAAGGGTGTGTGTGTGTGTGTGTGTTTGCGTGCACGCGCTGCATTATTTCTGTTGGCAAGACATTCTTTGTTAAAATCAGTTTTACTGATTCCGTGATTATGAAAAAGTTCTTGAGTAAAAAAATACCAGTTTTTCTCAATAGAATGATGGAAAAATTTCAGGGATACTCTGGAGAGATCATACTATATTTGAGAAAGAAGTTATGTCTATATGTTGGAGAGATCTTTGAGAGATGATAATATTTAAGATCAATATTGAATGAAGAATAGAAGTTAACAGGTATTGAAGGGAGTTAGAATGTTCTGAATATGACTTAGAATACATGATTTGTTACGGCCCATGATATGAAATATGACAAACTTTTGTAATCTAATGCGATCTCCAATTTGCTGCAATGTTTATAACTTGTACTTGGCTTAGGATCTAAGCCTTAGATGATACCTTGTCTTTTCTCCACAAGGTGGAGACATTTAAATGCAAATATTTTTATGTAGAGAAAAGATTTATTAACAGTGTCTTAGTGATTTGGTACTACTCCATAGAAATGTGTACTTTTATTTAATTTTGGATTTAACTTTGGATAGTCTACCATATTATTTCTGACCCACAAGTACAAAACAAATGACTAACAGTTTACAATATTTTGTTTTTTACTTACTTTTTCAAATTGAAAACAAAGACGTGTTCACTGCCATGAATTTTCTTTTTAATCTTTTTTAGATTACTCTTCCTACTCTCTATCAGACCCTCTGCTTTGAAGACGCGGCTCTGTGGCGTACTTACTATCATAATTCAGTGTGTGAGCAAGATTTTCCATCTATTCTTGCCAGAAAAGTTTCCTTATTTCAGCAGGTAAAATTTGGTATTATCTAAATGGAAAAAGGTTTTCAGAAGCAGTTTAAAAGGAAGCTTTGCCTTAAGATGCTATATGACCTTTAAGGTGACTTACTTATATGTACAGGAGCATACTAATTGGTGAGCATTTGTGCCCATTTCATCTCCAAATCCAATAATGAAAGCTACTGATGGGCTCCACCCTTGGATTGCCCACCCTTTGTGAGGAAGTCCTGCAGGAACTGAACTGCTGGCTTGGGTTTCTGTGCACTTTGTGTCTCCATATGTATGAATGTTATCTCACCAAGTGTGCTGAAATTAACAACAGCACTAAGAAACTCATTTCAAAACCCAGGCGTCTAGGCATATCCTTGATGTGCATTTAAAACTTTAAGGCAGGATTTCCAGCCCTCTGTTTTGTTTTTTAAATCATTTTATTGGGGCTGATACAACTCATCACAGTCCATACATACATACATCAATTGTGTAAAGCATACTTATACATTTGTTGCCCTCATCATTCTCAAAATTCACCTTCCACTTGGGTTCTTGAAATCAGCTCCGCATTTTCCTTTCCCCCCTCCCCCCCTCCCCGCTCCTCCCTTCCTCATGAACCCTTAATCATTTATAATTTATTATTTTATCTTGTCTTACATTGCCCGGCATCTCCCTTTACCCACCCTTCTGTTGTCCATCCCCCAGAGAGAAGGTTATATGTAGATCCTTGTAGTAGATTCCCCCTTTCTACTCCCTCTTCCCTCATCTATCTATCCTAGATTCCTTGTGTTTCCAGTTCCCATCTGTACCACTGTGCATGCTCTGATCTAACCAGGTTTGCAAGGTAGAATTGGGATCATGATAGTTGGTGGGGAGGAAGCGTTTAAGAACTAGAGGAAGGTTGTGAGTTTCATTATTGCTACTCTGAACCCTGAGTGACTCATCTCCTCCCCACTACCCATCTGCAAGGAATGTCCAGTTGTGTGCAGATGGGCATTGGGTCCCTATCACGTGCTACCCTCATTCACGATGATAGAATCCCCCGCCCCCCACCTTTGGTGCTTGAAACCTGGTCCCATCGGCCCTTCATAATCATACATGTTGGTGTGCTGCTTCCATGTGGGCTTAGTTGCTTCTGGACTAGATGGCCACTTGTTTACTTTCAAGGCTTTAAGTCCCCAGATGCTATAGGTCTTGATAGCCGGGCACCATTAGCCTTCTTCACCACATTTCCTTATGCACACATTCGTCTTCAGCATTTATGTCAGGAAGGTGATGACGCAGCCCTCTGTTTTGTTATCACCACAAAGACCTTACTTATATAGTATTAGTTTCTCTTGTTATTTGGCCCTTCATTAGATCCAAAAGACATAATCATATGGCTTTTGCATGCCGATATCTTCTTTTGATGATAGGTTTCAGGAACTAAATTGATTCCAGCAATATTTTGAATATCAAAATCATATCCTGTTTTATACCTATTGTGCTATTCTGGGTAGACTAGAGAAAAAATTCATAAGCACACATGTGTATAAGGGAGAGGTTTACATACAAGAGCAATTGAATATTGAGAAAGCATCCTAGCCCAGTCCAGTTCAAGGCCCATATGTCCGATACCAATCTAGAAAGCCCTCTTCAGACTCATGAAACACATGCAATAAAGCCAAATGCAGGATGATCACAAGCCTGTGGGTAGAAAGTTTTTGGGTCCAGTGGCGTTGTAAGCATATCAGTGCTAATGGGTTTCTCTGTTGCGTCCATGTGGCTCATCTTCTGCAAATGTCTCCCAGGGCGTGGCAAAGAGAGAGAGGTGTCTTCCGCCTCCAAGGAGGAAGTACCAGATTTCCCAGAATTCTCAGAAGGCTATGCCCACACAGAGGTCTCGTTGGCTATCTCCAGATTGGCAGCCTAGACTCCACCCCTACACTCTTAATCCTTAAATTGACATCAGATTAGGTGACTAACACACCTATTGTGACAGTTTTCAAGTCAGAGTAAATGCTATGGAAGAATAGTAGTATACTAGATTTTAATAAATGTTTGTATTTACTTAATTGGAATAATTGTAGTTTAATTAAGGTTTTTGTGGAAACATTATTACTTTAAAACAACTTGTACTTCATTTTTAGGTTCTTGTGGTACAAGCGCTCCGACCAGACAGACTGCAAAGTGCCATGGCTCTATTTGCATGTAAAACTCTGCGTAAGTACTACTTGTCTAGACCGACATGACTGACGAGAATTATCTGCGTCTTATTAACATTTTATTTGACCTTAGCTTGCAAAAATCCTAAGGTCTTTTTTTTAACTTCATTTTACTTACTTTACAGAGTATACGTAGTTTTAAAAATAGTCCTCTATGTTGGATATGACAGTACATAATGTGTATTAAATTTAATGCATAATTGGCATTCTACATTTAGTTATGGAGTCTGTGGTTCTAAAAATTATTTTCTTATTGAAGAATTTGTGTTTAGTATTTTAAAGCAGAGAAACAAATATTTGTGCATAATCTTTTCTCTCGAAGTATTACTTGCAATATAATTTAATACTTCTCACATACCTGGGTTTATTCATCTCTAGAAAGGAGAAAAGTATATATTCAGCCCTAGTACTGACTGGATGTGTGTCTTTTTTTTTAATCTGCTAAATGTGGTTATCAGGATATCTATCTCACAAGGTTGTTGTAATAATTAGATTATATTAAATAAAAGCATTTAGATTAATGCCTGTATACACTAGTATGTGAATATGTTTAGAGGGATTATAATTCACTTAGGTACTCTTGAATATGTATCATGAAATTGGTTTTATGGAATTATTTTTCTGATTTATGCGGTCTTTTATCTTTAATTTCCTTAATAATCCTTTAGAACTGAAAGAGTTGTCTCCTCTTCCTCTAAATCTCAAACGTTTGTACAAAGAGACGCTGGAAATTGAGCCTATCTTGATAATTATTTCCCCGGGTGCGGATCCTTCTCAGGAACTGCAGGAACTTGCTAATGCAGAAAGAAGTGGAGAGTGTTACCATCAGGTCAGCGCTGCTGTGTTCACTTTGATATGATTCATATTTGCTTGAATCGGCCAAGGACTAGCTTCTCAATGCCCTCACCTAATCTCTAGAATTTACTGATACTTATATGGTAAAGAAACTCTACAAATGTAGTTAAGGATAATGTGATGAGATTATCCTGGTATCCGAAGAGATCCAACATTATGAAAAGTGCCCTTCTAAGGAAAACAGAGGGTCAGAGTTAAAGAAGGAAATGTAAACGTTTACTTACTGATGTGCAAGAAATATATCTTGAATAAATGTATCTTATTTTTCTGATATAGTTGGCAACTTTTGTTCTAATTGGCTTTTCTCCAATTTATTTTGCATGCGACTTCACAATTTTAGTTTATTAATGTACTTTTAGTTTTTGATAAGCTTACAAATAATCTATAATCACGAAAGCAATGAGTAATAACTAAAAATATAAATATTTTGTAGCAACCAAAAATGAAAATATAAAACTCTCATGAGGAACAGTGTAAGTGGTCAATAGCACAAAACCAGGACTGGCAGGCTCCAGTATACAGGACTGCCTGGCCTTACTCTATAGAGTGCCATTCGGACCATGATGATCACCAATCACAGATTAGCTTATCCATTAGGACAACTTTCAGTTGTCAGTGAGATGTCTTGAGGTAGTAGAATCGTTTCTTACAGAAATATAAAACATAAGTTATGTGCTTTCTATTATTTAACTTTTATGGAGAAGATAACTAAGTTTTGGTATTAATTTGGCTTTTCTTCATAACTCTTTATGAAACCTAGTTACAAAGGTATAGATATTGTTTTAGGTTTACTTAATTATTAAAAAACAGCATAAGATTGATTATTTTTTATATCTCAAATGGAAATGAAAAATTGTTTTAAAGTTTATCGTTTCCATATCTAATATAATTATAATATGGATTTTTAGATTATCTAATATTTTGGGATGATAGTTTTTATCATTTTGTATTGTTATAATACATTTTACAATAGAACATCTGAACTTGTGTGTAAGGGGATTACACTTACAAATTGTTTAATGTAGAAAACTCTTGACATTTGGGCACATTTATTCATTATTCTTTTATTTTAAAACATTTTTTAATTGCTATTGAATATATTCAGAAA